GACTCGTAATATGATTATCGGAATTTGGCAATTTTATAAAATGGAATAAATTATATATGTGTATCGAATTATTAACATAATATTTTATATGCGTTCTGAATATATATATTTTAAATGTATATAATATTATTTTTTATTTCATTATATTTGTCATACTATAATTATATATATATTAGTTTATTTGTTTAAATATAAATTATAAAAAAATATCATCATATTTTGCGATTATTAAGATGTTTATGTTAACCACGAAAAAACAATCTCTCATAAAAATATATATCAAAATTTCTAAAATCTTACCTACCATAGAATTTATAACTTTATCAATTGTCACCTCGATACTTAGTGGTTACTTTGGCAAAATATATCTGTTTTTTTTATCTGAACGGATGGCCACTATATCATTAAAATAAATTACTTAATTAATTTCTTTCGATGGCAACATCCTCAGTTATCGGAACTTTGGTATTATAAATGTTGAAATCTCATGGAGGACATTTTTTTTAATGTTTACTTAAATAATTTTAAATAAATTTTTTTTAATCTGTACCTTATGAACAATAATTATTTTTAAGAATTAATTGTTTATTATCTTTTAATATAAAAAAATTTCAAAAATTAAGTTTTTATAAGACATGTCTAAAACAATGTGTTAAATACTATATTTGTAGCTATTATTCATAAACACAATAGAGATTATCAGTAGTAATCAGTTTTGTCATTTTTGCGTTGTTAAAAATATTCCTGCTCCCCCCATCCCCCAACCCTTACATTAGCCTATCGAGGGGAGAGAGAACGCTTAAATAAATAAATCTTATATATACTTTCCTAAGTTCAAAAAAAAACTAAAAATAAATGGGGTTTTGTGCCGCGTCTGAACCCCGGGTCTGGACCAAACACCTTTTATTTGATGCCTATATTATTATTTTGGATAAAAATATTCCTCCCTCCCAAGCCCCACATTAGCCTATCGAGTCGAGAGGAAACGCTTGTTCTCCTAATGTATAAATCTTATATATACTTTTATAAGTTCAAAAAAAAACTAAAAATAAATGGGGTTTTGTGCCGCGTCTGAACCCATGGTCTGGACCAAACACCTTTTATTTGATACCTTTGGATAAAAATATTCCTGCCCCTCCCAAGCACTACATTAGCCTATCGAGTCGAGAGGAAACGCTTGTTCTCCTAATGTATAAATCTTATATATACTTTCCTAAGTTCAAAAAAAAAACTAAAAATATATGGGGTTTATGCCGAGAGACCCCGGGCTGTGCTCATAACAGGTCTGAGCACAAAATTGGGTCGTAAATTATACGACCAAGCAAATTAACAATACTACTAACAACTAGATTGCGAGAATTTAACAATTTAATTTTATCAAAAGCAAGACTACGCGTGGGGGAAATTATTTCGAAATTTTAAGTTTATCTATCTTTATTTAAATCGAATAGTATAAATTACAAAATTTAAATTAATCTATTTTCAAAATATTTATCATACATAGTGAGACCTTTTAATTTAAGAGTTGTCTTTTTGGAAATTAATTTCATTAACTCTGGGTAATTGCTATTCACTATTAAATAAACTCAATTTTTAATAAATCGAATTACAATATACGATGATATTTTTATTAAAATAATTTTCTGATGTAGCATATGGACAATTGTAAATATAAAAAAATTATAAATTTGTAGCTTAGAGTTTAATTTATGAAATAAATCGAATAAATTATTATTTATGATGAATGCAGATTAATAAATTCTGAATACCTTCTAGATCAAAGTGTTAAAATCATTTTTAAGGTAAATGTATGACAATATACATAAAAATAGTGCTAAATAGATTATCGAGCCAGGCGTGTATGCAGCGGGGGGGGGGCAGGGGGACAAACACCCCCCCCCCCCTTCAAGTCAACAAAAATACTAATGTTTATATTTGTTAATATTTATTCCTATCTCATATTAAATATATATTTAATTACATCTATTTATCACATTCATCTATTAAGTTATTTTATCAATTAATTTCGATTTCAAGTTTTCATTGGCGTAATATTTACATATTATTTTCAAATTTCTAGTGGCATAATATTTATCTACCATTTTCATATTTCAAGTCAAATAGTAATTTTTCTGAAACTCCTTGTCCAACAGGGAGAAAAAAGTGCAAGCTTTTCCAACGCGATGGAGTCTCCGCCGTCAAGCAGTAACAGCTTTTATGGAGTTAGAAGATCCGATCATTAATGCTATTACTGAAATATCACAATGGCCTGAAAGAAATATTTCCTCAAAAGCAAGAAAATGATTGGATTCAATACTTATTTCAAATTTTTTATCTCATTAGAATGTATTATTTAATTATATAACTATTTTATGTAATACTTTTCAAAAACATGGCATTGACTTGATTAAGAAGATGAGAATAGCGGAGAGCATTTTATTAGAACTCAAGGAAATTAGGGCTAATGTTCATGAAGAATTCCAATTTTATATATTATTGTTGAGTCAAAAGGGCTATACGTGTTTAATATTTGTCTCCCTCGACTTGCAGCAAGGCAAGCTCATCGTCAAAACATTAGTATAAGATCAGTAGAAAAGTATCATAAAACTATAATCCAAATAAATGAATGGTTTTTAATTCATCATGAAGCACTTACCAATCTGCAGATATTACTTCCACAAAAGCCTTCCCAATCGTTTTCAGATGGTGATAGAAAAAAATAATATTTGTTTGATACCTTATTAGCTGAATAACTATGTTTAAAAGATTAACTAAAATATACCAAAAAATGCTATGGATGCTTTGTATAATTTCAAACATATTTTAGATTATATTCCCAATGTATTAAAATGATTATATATATTAGCAACTCTTCTTATTAGAAAACTAAGGAGAGAAGAATAACAGAGCCCTGCAGAGGTACCATTTGCAGGGCACGGCCCGGATTTTTTTCAAAATTTTTTTCGGCCCGGCTCATTTTTTTTAAAAGAAATTTTCAGCTAGGCCCGGCTTTTCTTAAAATAAAATTTTCAGGCTCGGCCAGGATATTTTAAAATAAATTATATTTATTTTTGATTTTTATAGCTAATTTCAAATATTTGGTATTAAAATAAACAGCCGGGCCTGGATAATTTTTAAAAAAAAAATCAGACCCGGCCCGGGTATATTTAAAAAATTAAAATACGGTCCGGCCTGGGAACCGGGCCTGCAGTTCTCTGAAAAACATACTTAAGAAGTACAACTTCTGAAAGTGGATATAATGGTTTGGGTCTTTTAAATATTTATAGGCATTTGACGTCAAGCAATGATGAGTAATTGAAAAATTAGCTCAATCCCAACGAAGATTGGATTTTCCATTGTAAATATAATACAAAATACAATTATTCTTAAGAAACTTTTTGTGCATTAATATTTATATTTCCAACATTTAAATTTTTTATACTTTATTATATAAATTTTAAAGGCTCAAAAAATTCAAATTTCTATTTTGGGTCATTTAAGTGATTCATATAGTGGTTATATTCATTTTATATTTTTTAATTCACATTTATTTTATAGTTTTTTATGTGCCGGTTTATATATATAATTTTTTTATAATTCATATAATTTAAAATTGTGTATTAGAAATAGTTATTAGTCCTAATAAATTTATCTTGATATTTTTAAATAACAATAATATTTCTTTAAAAATCCCCCCCCCCAGACAAAATTCCTGCGTACGCGCTGCGAGGAGCTAATAAAATATTTTTTTTTAAATATTCAACCCAAAAAAACGATATAAAGAGGAATTGCGAATTCATATCTTGGTTGACCTGTGAAATCAATTTTTTTTCCTTCTCGATCTGAGCCTACCCAAAGATTGTGGCCAAAAAGGTTTAGTAGGAATCTAGCCCGACTTTTTATATATGGTATTGGGAAATAATCTCAAATTATAAATAATTATTTAATTCTTTATTTTTGTTATTCATTAAAATTAAATATTCAGGAATAATTCTAATAATTTAATTTTTATATATTTTATTCTGTTTATTACAAAATATAATATGAATATAAAATATTTGTAATCCAAAAAAACTTTTCCTATTTTTAATTGTTATATTCAATTAGGCAAAAAAATTATATTATTTCGGACCATGGACCTTTTCTATATTTCATTGGTGATGTTGTGGTCCGCGCCCAGACCTTTTAGGATACTAAGCCATATCTCCAAATTTTTAAACAATACATCAATTATTTTATTTTATCCTAATATATACATCCTAGTAGTACATTTAACAAGCAGTTTGTTACTAAGCCCGATTTTTAAAAACGGCCCACAAGATTTTAGCCAAGATAATATTGTGCAAGCTTCGAGATTTGGCAAATGGATGTCCAAATCTTTGTGCCATCTATTAGCAAAATCTCCAGGCTTATATAATTATATTTTGGCTATAATCTTAATCGGGCCCTTTTTAAAAATAGACCCAAAACGGAATTTTAACAACACTACAAATAAATTATTTGTAACATTAAAGTAAAATATTTAAAATTTACTATATGATATTAATATTTATTTAAAATTTTATTTATAGGTATCTCTTTTTCCCAATTGGCCTATATTTCAAGGATTTAAAATCTTGCATATCTTATATTATTAAAGGTGTATGTACTGCAATATGGAATAGAGACAAAGGTGCATATGATATAGATTTCTAAAAAAAATATTGTTAATGCTAGGTCTCTGATGAATTATACAATTTAACTTTTTATATTTTATATTTGATTTGACTAATATATGCACACTTAAAAGTTATTATTGAAAATATTTTATTAGCAAATTTATTTTAAAAAAGCTAATTCTTTTTATAATTTCATAATGAATTTGAAGTTGCAACAATTATAAAAAGCTTATTATTGATACTGAGTGCAATTAAGTCATTTATTAAAAAAAATTTATTTTCAATTTTAACGAATTCGAATAAAACATATTAATATAATATCGTAAAAAAGGTAAATAATTGTTACTAAAATATAATTAGGTGTTAATCCTTGATATGACACAATTTTTTAAAATATAAATATATACAGGATAAGATAAGATAAATCATCAGTGGTCAATAGTTACACTGGTAGTTTGTGGAAAATAGACCCGATTTTCAACTCCAAATCTAATTGTTTGAAAGTGTATATGATAGCTAATTTAATGAGGTTGAAGGTGTTAATATTATAAGTGCTGTAGGCTGTGTTAGTTTTGTCGAATGGCTCTTTTCAAATAAAAAAAATAATTTATATATTTTTTTTAATTAAGCTATTTTCAGGTAAATTATAAGCACAAATTTTTTTTAATGAGTTATACATTTAAATAATTTTTTTTTGAATTCATCCTTGGGAGGAGCTTCATAATTATATTAGGTAACGGATACAATAATAAACGCTGCTTTCTATATTTAGTATATGAATATAATTTTTATAGAAATTCAATTTCAATGCCTACCTTCCACGCATATGTATTTCCAGGATTGATTATGCCTGTATTTGATATTTGGTATGTTTCTATTGACCTGAGAGCGATGTATCTTAGCTCCTAGCCTCACGGATATCGCATCTGTATCAAACCTAATTGATGTTTCATTCAAACGATTTTTTTTAAATTAAACGTGAACATCAACAAAACTTTAATGTTTCATTATCGATTGACATTTTTTGTCAATAAATAACGATCCTTGTTCGATTATTTTATTTATTAATAAATAATTTTTTTAAAAATACAGAATTTTGGTTCACAATATAACAATTATAAAAAAAATAACTTGATTTAAAGGTGGGACACTAAATCAAGATACTATAAAATTAAAATAAACAAAAATAAGTGAAGAAAACTTAAATTCATAAGCGTAATAATGAAAGAACGAGCGAAGCAATTGGCCTAAAGATTGCTCATTCTCGGATTTCCATATCAGTTTATCCTTCAAGCTCTTATAGTCGCTAAAATGTTGCAGTGAATAGTTGTCGATATCAAACAATTCCTATATAAATATATCACATAGCATTAAAATGTCAAATTCCGTTTGTTGGTATTAAAGAATGTAAGAATAATTTACTTTATTTCGTTGTTGCAAAGCTGGAATAACAGGTGGATGACACACTAATTGAAAACAAAATTTTAATATAGATTAGCAATGTATGAAATAATATTCAAAAAATATGAGGTTTGAATTAGCATTTCTTTCAAAACCGGAAATTAATTAATTGAATCTATTAACTTAACATTATTTATTTTTCAGCCCAGCAACCAAGGGGGTGGGGGAAATCGCCCCATCTCATTTGCCCTTTCTCGTAAATATCATTTTAAGCTAAATGCCCCCCTTATACAGCCCCCACGTTAATAACTTTTTAAAATAACTACTATAAATCAAATTTTTTAGAAAAAAAATATCCAAAATTATTTTTATAAAAAATAGAATATAGCTAAAGGTCTAAAATAATTAGACCCAAAGACCTCCAATAAAATTTATGGCAGAAAACCTGACATAATAGTATTCATCCCCCTATAGAAACACCTTGGATACGCCTTTCTATAGATTTTTTTTTAAAAAAGGATCTAACCTTGTAAGTAGTGTAAAACCATGAGAGCCAAGGAGTAACTATTCAAGCTTTGTTTACTGGCGTCATTTATATTGTGAAACTTTGCCCAATGTTTAACAATAATAATTAATGGAGCGACTCGACAATCAACTTTTCATTTATTTATATTTTTAAATAAATAAAATAATTTTATAAATGAGATTGATTCAACTAATATAGACGATTGTTCCATAGTCATTAGTCAATCTTGAAAAATTGTTAAAACTGGGAAAACCGATTTTAAAGTTTAGAGTTAAATATGAAAAAAACATATAGATTAACATAAGCAAAAAAAATTGAGAGGTAATTTCCAATGAGAGCCTAAATAAATTTAACTCAAAATTTTTTCTATATATATTTTATAATAATTTCTTTATAAAATTTAAAAAAGGTATATACAACGGATGATAAAATATGATAATATTATAGATATTGCATATATAGCAAAAATTAGGAAAATACCCCAAAATTGACAGTTGCTCTAAAGTGGCCATAAATTAATATCCTTAAATCTAATTTTTATTTTAAATTAAAATACAATCCTAACTCAAAAATCTTAAAATGTCAAGTAGAGCACTTTAATTCCAGACCGACGATACCTTAAATGATTCAATAATAATTAAATTTATAAGACTATAAAATTCAACAACAAAAATGTAATAAATAAAATAAAAATGAAAAACTTTGGTGGTTCTGAATTAAAAGCTCGGTTTAAATTATTTATAAAATTTTGAAAAACCAAATATATAATAAAATAAAATATTTTTTAAGAAAAAATTTTAAGTAATGAGTAACGTTTTGCATTAGCGTTATTCAAAAAAAGACGCGTTACTCGTTACCCTTTGAAACAAGTAATGAATGGTGTTGCTTTTCCTCAAAAAAAGTAACGTCAAGCAATTAAAAGAAAAATAAGCATAAACTAAATAAAATTTTTAAAAAAAATGACATTGATTAATTTCAGAAAAAAGCATTTTAATATTTAAAAAAGTGTAAAACCTAAAAATATTTTTATTAATGTAGCCTAACAAAAGATCTGCAGTATCAATGGACCTAAAACACTCCAATATAAATTATGGAGAAAAAAGCCACACCTCTTCTTCGATTATAAAATACTGGAAACGCCTATGAACGAATTTATTATGTAAACTATTATGGCTCTTTTGCATACCATATGAGTAAGCTTTCATAAGATACGTGTTGTAAACGCCAACAATGTTGTTTATGTTCAAGTCAACTTCTATATCACTAAAATAAATAATAATTGTAGATAAATGATATAGCATTTTATATTTAAATTAGAGTCCTGCAAAGCTGACCGGAGGCCTGAACATTCAGGCGTTTTAATTTATATTAGTTTCATTTAAATTTGAGTTGTTATATTTTTAAGAAAACTCCTATAGATAAAGTGGTTTCCGGCTATCAGCTTAAAATTGGCCTAAACGGTTAAAAGAATAGTAACTATCCAACTATAGTGGTGACAGAGATTAATAAAATCTATAAATTATTTAAATACTAAATTCGTCCCATCATTCCGTGAGGAAAATATATGAGCTGGTAGAGAAATCATGAGAACATTTTTTCAAACATTAACCAAATTATTTGCTATATTTAGCCTTTTCAGCGAGCAAACAAAATTTTTCTTTTAACGATCACATTTTAAAAGAAATATATCCTTATTATGTTTTATATCGAATTTCCTAAACATTATATCATATTTTGAAATAAATGGCAAGATCAAAGTTCCAAGGACTTTTCAAGTCCAATGTTTAATATATATATACCAGAGACCTGCAGGGGTACCATTTGTACGGCCTGGCCCGAATTTTTTTTTCAAAAATTATTTTCGGCCCGGCCCGAGTTTTTTTAAAAATATATTATTTATTTTTGATTTTTATAGCTAATAATGACGATTTCAAATATTAAGTTTTAAAATATAAGGCCCGGCCCGGTCCGGATATTTTTTTAAAAAATTCAGGCCCGGCCCGGGTATATTAAAAAAAATTAAAATCGGCCCTGCCCGTGTACCCGGGCCTGCAGGTCTCTGATATATACATTTATTTATCACAATTTAATTCTTTTTTACCATAGGATCGAGCCAAAAAACAATTTTGCAGGACTCGAGTTTAAATATTTTAACGAAATATAAATATATATCATGAATTTTAAAATAATGTATAATTTATAATAAAATTACTTGTTAAGATTAAATATAAGATGCAAGAATGAATCATCCATCACCTAATTATTACTATTTAATTTATCTCAATTTTGGTCGAAATTAGGATAAAAATATAAGAATAAAATTTTATATTTAATCACTTTCATATTCAGAGTGTTGCCAACTTTCAATTTTAAAAATGGGACAATTTTTTTACTTTTTTATATTCTTAATGATTAGTCAAATGATTTTATTGATAATATATTTAAATTTATATGAAAATAATAATATATATGCGTTAAATATGTTAAAACAAAAATGTGTAAATGTATATTTAATAAAAGACTAATAAAAATACTATTATAAAATATGGATATATATAAATAATCTTCGCCCGTGAGATGACTAATTTTTCCATCCATCACCCTCAGAAAGGAAAGTGCCACGTGACCGAAGTTTCTGAGGTTTATTGTGATAACGGGATTTATTATGGGTTAACACTGATTATTTGTTGTTTTTTATATTTTGGCTAACGAAAAAGAGTTTTAGCGGGTTTTAGATTTCGCGAATATCAGAACAGGTGTAATACCTACAGAAAGGGATGCCCCTTGCCCCTTTCCCTTGGAATTAAGGTTAAACCATATGCCCTTTTAGCATTTAGAGTAGTGTTATCAAATAGTGGAGTTCACTCGACTCACAGTAAGAGTCGATAGTCGACTAACTAGTTAACAAATCGAGTCGTAAACTGGTTTAAAAATAAATATGTGTATGAAAATAGGTGGAGTAAACGAAAAAGGAAAAATAAATAAAATTTCTTTCTTTCTAGGGTTGGTTACTTTTATGATTAATATTATTAAAAATGACTATTACTTATAAATTTTTTAAAATAATATCATTAAATATTTTTTCTAAATTGTTATTCATTTATAATGCAGCATAATTATAACCAAGGTTGATGAACTCTAAAAAATCTGAAGAAAGATATAAATACATGTGATCCCAATGCTGCTTATTTAGGATCTCCAAGGAGTGTCGTATTAGTAGTGAATTTAATGAAGCATGTGATATATAGGGATCAGGCATTATACAAGGTGGCTATAATAAATATTTCAAGTGATTCATAAATTTCAGAAGTAAAAGTGACATAGTTAATAGAATATATGTGATAGGGAGTAACTTCCATAAGAAACAATCAAATTTCGGTCCCACGTAAGCGGAAGGGTGCTGCCCACCTTGCCCATTAAGAGAAATGACATATTACCAAGAATTTTTATTTAATAATAAAATGAATCTGCAATATTAATCTTATAATATTTTTAAATTCATTGTCATTCTAAAATTAGTGTTTCGTTCTCCGTGGAAGATTTTTATTCTGATTCATATTATCATTTTCTTTAATATTTAAATCAATTTTCCTGTTGTAGAGGTCTTCAATCTATTTCTGTTTTTCGTATAATTTAACCTAATTCGAAAAATTTATAATAATGTCTTAAAAAATATTTATTCTAATTTAACGATATTTGACCGATAGACCGTCGAATCGTATTTGACCGGTCAACAACCGATTTTGTATCATTATGAGTCTTTTTTTATAGACTCTGATTCAGAGTTGAATGAACTCTCCTATTCAAAAATAGGTTAAATAAGGATTTTATATCTACTTATATATTTTTACTTGATTTTTAAACTAAACGACTAGATCTCACAATAAAAATCAAGGATTTTACCGAAAAAAACGTGATTTATATAGAAAAAAGTAGAATTTTTACAAAAAAATTAGCTAGAGGAGTCTTCCCATTTTCTTAATTTTATTTATTCCTAAAAAATAAAATTAATGATTATTTTTCACTTTAAAGTAATTATGAACTACCACGACTCGAGTTTATAAATTGAGGTTCATAATTCGAGTCAGTTTTGGGTAGATTTTCGACTGAAAACTTAGTTCCAGTTTTTGACTAAGTAGACTCAACTCAGTCGATTAACAACACTAATCTAAGGTATTGAAACTAAAGGGGGTTCATTGTATGTTGGCCCTACTTAGAGCTTTATATATTATATTGTCAACTGAGCTAGGCCTAGGATGGCGGCTTTTAGGGAATCGGCAGCGTAATAGACATATTCTTCAACTGGGATGTTGCAACTGTTCTAGGCATATGTTTATTTTTTTATTATTATTAAAATATTATTGATTTTTTTTAATGTATAAAATATATTATTGATTTTTTTAATGTATAAAATATATTATTGATTTTTTTTTATTGGTTTTAAAAAGAAAATAAAAGTTTGAATTTTGGAAAATAAAAGAGTATCACAAAAGTGGTGCCTCTAATTTAAAAGATACCTGTATAAAAAAAAATTAATTCGGAACAACAATGACTACTATTACGAAACAAGCCAAAGATTTATAAAAAGGAAAAAGGAAATTCGTAAAAATAAGGTAAAAGTTTATATTTTTGTTGAAATTTTATGTATTATTGTGTATTAGGGATTTTCGTAATAATTTCGATATTGTATATTTTATCATTTAAGTCAGTTAAAATTTTTTTGATAAAGTTATTGATAAGTTTATTATAGAATTAAAGAATTTGAAATTTGAAAATTAAGAGTTTAAATTAAAAATAATTTTAAGGAAATGCTAAATCGCAAAAATATTAAGACCAACAATTATTTTGAGGTCAAAAATGTTGAGCCGTTAAAAATGTATTTTGGAATATTAGTGGTTTTTACATTATGGGTTATAATATATTTTTGGTATAAGAAAAGAAATGGAAATAAAGATATAAATCGAGTAAGAATGTTAGAGCAAGTGGAAAGGGAGAAAAATAAAAAAATTGAAGAATTTAAGAGGAATATTGAAAATTTATTTAATGAAATATATATGGTGAAAAATGAAAATGAAAAAAAGGAAATATTAAAAACAGATATCGTCAGAGATTCTGAAAAAAAGGTATGTGAAATTGATATTAATAAAACAGATTTCGTTAGAGAGTCTGAAAAAAGAGAAAATGGAAAAATTGGAGAAAATGAAAAAAAAAGGAAAATGAAATTGGAAAAATGGAACATAAAAAAAAGGAGATTAATATTGAAGAAATAAGAAGAGAAATGAGGGAAGAATGGGAAAATGAAAGGAAAGAGATAGAGAAAAAAGAAATGGAAGAAAGGAGGAAAAGGGAAAAAATGGAGGTCATTGAAAGGGAAAAAGAGATGTTGAGAACAGAAATGACAGAAATGAAAATTAAAATAGAAGAATTGGAAAAGAAAAGTGAAGGAAAAGGAGTGTATGGGAATGATGAAAGGGAAAATAAAAAGTGTTATAATTGTGGGAAGTTTGGACATATAAGTAGAGGATGTAATGAAAGGAGAAATCCAAATGTGTTAACTATAATTTGTAAAAGGTGTGGAAATAAAGGGCATAAAACTGAGGAATGTTATGTTCCTACGTATAAATTGGTGAATGAAATTCAAAAAGCTTGTGGAAATTTTGGTCATGGTCATGATAAGTGTTTTAAGAATCAACAAGAAGATTCTAAAGGATTTCCGGCGGTAGAATATATAAAAAAAGGGGAAAAAAATATCTATGAAAAAAGGAAAGTCGAAGATGTAACATGTTTCAAGTGTCGTAACATTGGACATTATGCGAGAGATTGTCCGGTCACATGACTATATGGTGGACAGGAATCAATATGTGGGGTTATTACATCGGAAAACCCAGTAGACAAGGGAAAAATTTTATTATTAGGGAATGTACTAAATATTGAAAATAATTTGGGAATTGAAGAAAAGAAAAATAGTAATGAATTAGTGATGAAAAATAAGGGGAATGAGTGGCCCAGGGCGAATATACAAATTTGTGTTATGCCAGTTTCGATGAAAAAATATATTAATTATGATGAATGTCCGCGCGTGAAAATTAATGTGGGAAATAAGGAAATTATAATGTTGTTAGATACGGGAGCAACTATATCGGTAATGGGGTATAGGGAATTTTCGAATTTATGGCCGAATGAGCAATTAATAAATGATAAAATGATAATTAAGCAGTTAAATGGAACTGTTATTTCGGTTTTGGGAAAAGTGAATTTGCCGG